AATAATTGTTTTTGTTAAATAAGAAATCCAATTTCCATCGCGGTAAAAATTACATCTTAGTAAACATTTTATAAAATTAAAATACAATTTTTTAATTCAAAAATATCTGTTTGATATTTCACAGATACTTAAATTAAAGCAATGCATGTTTTAATTTGTTTATTATTTTTTAAATTTAAGTTAATATGCCACTACATTAGGAGCCACCTATTGAATAATTTTCTTAAGTAAAGTCACAGTTTTGTTGGATTAAGCTATTTTTTTTATCAGTGTATTTTTTACCGTAAATTGGAATTGTTGCTACACCGAAATAATGATATCTCGCTGATGAGCCAATTTATTTCAGCGAGACACGTTAAAGTGAATCTCGTGATCTTCTCGGATTAAGTACGTAAATCCTATATTTTTCAGATATCACATTTTTTTTCTCGTTTTAAATAATACGAACTCGGCATTTTTATTCCCGCCCCATAATGACACACGTAACTCACCCGCGGCGATTTTCCCCGCGCGAAGCGCATTTGATTCGAATACCTGTACATTTTTCAAGTCCCACCGCGGGGTGTCGGTGTTACAACCCTTTCGGCTAACCCCTCAAGAAGCAGCCAATTTCTCTCCTCCTCTCGAGATCGTTTTACGTACACGTCTGCCTGCGTTCGCCTTCACCTCTCGAAATTGATAATACAGCCCCCCCGAGGATATTCATCGGATCGAGTTTTCACGAGCATGCGACAGTAGATAGATGACTTTAATACCGTGTGACCCGTCGCGCAGATAGCAGATGGCAAAGTACATAATTAACGTGAGTTAATGATCTCATGATAGTACGAGGAGGCTTCCCTTTTGCTCGCTTTTGCCCTTCTCATTTTCATTCGACCCGCAGTTTTGCGCACTCGGAAAAATCGACCGTAGAGCGAGTAACACCCGGCAGTACCCAGAATATTCTGTTTTACGCCCTTGTTATTTGTCTGAACGACGGTGCCGGGCGTTTAGGTGAAAGGCATGCGTCTGCAGGGAGACGTTCGCCGTAATTGCATTGGTGCGCTCATGCAAGTTTCGTGGAAGTGTCAGGGCGAACGAAAATGCATTACGCATGCATTGCGATATAGCGCACCTTTCTTGGTGCTGATGCACCGTCGCGCGTAAAGTTCTCATCGGTTTTCACATGTCGCGGACCCAATCTTCGCGAGTAATTTTAATTACAGGATGAAATTATCGCGGAGCAAATGCAGATTAAGCGAGATTAATGTAAACCACTTTTCTCAGTATTTCTTTGGATTTTTGCCTTTAATTTGAAACTTCGAATGTATGAGAAAAGTGAGGATCTCTCCGATGTAAAACGCTTCGTATTTTTCACTTTTCGGTATTGGTAATATTTTTGCATATTTATATTCGCATATTTAATTTCTCTCGTACACGGGGAGAATTTTCTCTTAAAATTTATCCTGAAAATTATGTAGTCGTGGAACGACGGGGCATTTCGGAGAATTTTATGAGAGTTTTTTTTTAATTTTACCATATATTTTACAAGTGATTATACTTGGTACGCATTTTACTAGTAAAATGTATGGTAAAATTGAAGAAAATTCTCATAAAGTTCAAACATAATAATCTCTTTAGGTAGCCAGTAATAAATAACAATAAATAAGTTTATTCTTAACTGGCACGTGTTTAATAAAATAAAATAAACTACAGTGCGACGTTTCGACCAAGGGTTTAGGTCCTTCTCAAGCACATTCTAAAAGGAACAAACCGATAATCGGGATTACAGGCTTATCAAAGATACAAATTAAATTAATAATACAAATTAAATTAATAGGAAATCAAAATGTGTACAATAATAATATGCAAATAAAATGAGATCGTAAATAATGAGTACAATGAAAGATATGGTTTGTCACAGCGGATAAATAATATAACGAATTGGAAATAAATCCTAGACCAGTCAGTTACCTGAAAAATAATCAGGCCAATGTAATATGATGTCAAGTAATAAAAATGCAAAGGAGGTGAGTTGCGATTATCGGTTTGTTCCTTTTAGAACGTGCTTGAGAAGGACCTAGACCCTTGGTCGAAACGTCACACTGTATTTTATTTTATTTTATTAAACACGTGCCAGCTTATTTATTCTCTTTTATACTGAAAATCCAATAAGGACCGAAACGTATATATACATTTCTAATTAAAATTATTTTATTGGACACCACAACCTTGTTCAGGCTCTGAGCTCTTTTTTATTACTTGATTTCGTCATACGAGCCATTGTTATTTATATTAACTTATTTATTCTCATAAAGTTGTTCAAAATGCCATGTTGTCCCACGGTTGCACGATCTTCAGAATAAATTTCAAGAGAAAATTCCCTTCGTGTAGCATCCCCGTATTCCAACCGGCCTTCCAGGCGACTTGCGACTTGAATCGCGCGCTCACGATAGGAACGCGAGTTATTCGTCTCAACGGTGTGGCGGGGGATGAAAGTGCACTTTAGATATTACGCTTTTTGGCGGAGAGCTTCCAGCCACCGATTGTTCATCGTGCGAATTACGAGGCCCGTTTTTGGAAATTCAAAGCCGCCGCCACTCATAGTTGGCAGTTTGTGCGCGCGCTGGCGGAGTGCCACTTGTGCAACACGTGTACGCGCGGGGATTTCCGCAAAGATGAAAACGGATAGCGGCGAATCCCGTTTCCGAGCGCGAACGGCGAAGGCTCCTACGTAAATTAACGTGGCAGCGTGATTCTCGGGTTCCGTCGGTACCGAGGGGATTAATCTCGTTGCGCGCGCAATTGGATCGACTGCGCCGAACAAGGGTGCTTCGGGCATTGTACTTCGTCAGTTGTTTGCGCAAAGGCCCGTGTCCACGATGCTAGAACTTGGTCCAAGTTCTAGCATCGTGGACACGGGCCTTAAGGAAGGAAAATGCTCGCGAGAATATGAAATATCTCGCACGCGACGAGAAGCGGAGCTTCTTCGTCTTGGCCCGCCGCGATTATTAAGACAATGAGGTTAATTTTCGTAATTATTACGAATTAAGGTTCTCTTTCGTTCACGGTTAATTCCGGGGATAAGCGTACTTGAGCCGACGAAATTCACCAATTTTTGTGAAGCCGCTTCGACGGCAAGGCTGGCCGATATAGCCGTGTAGCATTAATAAATTACAAGGAACGATATCCTCAAAAAGATCGAACAAACTAAATATACGCAGAATCAATATCTCGGAATTAAAACGAACCGATATCATTCGCGCGGCGCGTACGTGGAAGAACAAACGTTTTGTATCTCAACACGCGACATTTCCTTTATTTTTCCACTCGCGTCAGAGAGAGGCGTTTATTGTTTCGATTTCAAGGTACCGAGATGAAATGAGGAGAGGAAAGATAAATGTACAACAAAGCACTTCGATTTTATATTACAACGAATACAAACCGTTTTGAAAATGAGTGGCTCATTATTAGCAGCAAATGTCTCTTGACATTTACAACAATGTGCAAATTAAGTAAATTTACAAAATACATTTGGAAGCAACGAGGATTGATTGAAGAAAGTAATTTCGATCTCGCGTAGTAATGGCGAGCCCTTTCGCGTCCCTTCCGATGCTCCCCGCGAAACTGTATCTCGTTTCGCAATCTCCTGGCGGTCTTGTGGGTCCACTGACGCCGACTGACTGCACCGCGTAACGCGAATGACGTCGTCGGTAAGTTATGTAAGTGGCAAACGAGCAATCAGACGACCGACTTACGTTTCATCACTCGCAAACATGCGTTCGGGACTCGTTGCCTCCGAGCGTAAGATAGAATTGACATACGTACATATAAATATATTGTATAATTATCTTAATATATGTTATAAGGGAAGTAACGAAGTTAAGTTAGAGTTACCAAAAAAAATAACTGTAACTTCGTTACAAGTAACTCTCCATCTGTAACCGTAATCTAACTCGGTTACATTTTTTTTTCGATAACTAGTAACTAATTTAATAGTTACATTATATATTTTTTAAATCTCCACAGATTGCATTAGGCCTCGCGTTTGCGCATAAACGCCTTTATCGACGCTTTACAATTCAAATGCAGATTTGATATTTTTATTTTCAAATCGCAAGAAAGTAACTGCAAAGTAACGATTCGTTACTTTTGGAGTAATTGCAACTGTAGCGCGTTACTTTTCCGAATTGGTAACTTCTAACTTGTAACCAGTTAGATTTTTAGTGAAAACACTGTAACTGCAACTACTTTATACAAGTATCTAGTTGCAGTTACAGTTTTTTTTTGTTTACAGTGGAAAGTAACTTTTCCAACCCTGTGTATTATTTAATTATAATAAATATTAATACGTATTGATATTTATTATAATTAATCTTCTTGGGAATCAGTCCAATTATACAAGTCAAAGTGGTAAAGGTACAAAATTCTAATCAGAGACGTATATAAAGGGACTCTTCTAATTTTTTAAATTACTCCTAACGGAAATTGCAAAACTGGAAAAATTGATTTGGCGCTCCAGACCGTAAGCGCCTCTGGACAATTGGATTAGGCGCCTTGTACGTGGGAGTCACACGTGTGCGTGCACCATGGACGTTTTCGAGAAAGGTTGCTGTACGTTCTCGGGGGGGAGTAGGACACGCGAGGGGGCGTGGCGACAAAAGCGGAAGTTTAATCGTTAAATTTCGCTTAGCTCTTTTTTCACGAGGCTCGCAAGGCTGGCGGAAATCTACCCTTCACTTTATTATTCGCCGGTTCTCCGAATGCAAAGGTCATTGTTAAATGGTATATTTTTTAATGGAGAACGCGATGGCAGGACGATTAGCTTAATAAATCGCATTGTCAGGAAACAATTGGCTTTCCCGGCTCGATGTGTCAAGATCTTCACGGCACAATAATTAGTAGAAACATTATTTCGCCTCTCTCAAGTGTCCGTGTCTAATAAGATACCTGATTGTAGATTACGACACCTGGCTCTTTCATCTTTGTACTAATACAATGTATACTTCTTTTGATTGCAGCGAAGGTAGAGAAAAAGTACGCGTCTCGTTGTTGGGCCCACAACCATCGCCTGCGACGCCAGGTGTTCTCTTGCTAGAGCCGATCACGCACTCGACAGGACACCCGATAAACATGGCCAACAATCCTGCGGAACTTCTGACCACGCACACCGAGCACACCACACCCGCCTACCACGCGCAGATCAGGTAAGGTCTTGTTGCAACATCTAGTTTTAACCTGAATAAAAACGTAACAAATCGCCAGATTACGGGATACGTTGCCAAATACCGAGGGAAATTAATTAAAACTCACATTGGAATGAAATGTGCTCTTGAACGTCTCTTTTTTCGTGAAGGCAAAGTTCACGAACCTAGTGGAAATTAAATTAAGCAATCAAAGCACAGGGTAGGAGGCGACTGGAAGTAATTAAAGATAGCAAACTTCGTGTCCAAAAGAGATATTTTCTACGTTGATGACTTATCATTTTTCGATGCATTATTTTCTTGTGAATGAAAATTGTAACAATAATCGAGCTTCTTAGTCGACATTAACCGGCCTGTGTTTTAATACAGAAAATTTCTTGCGACAAATATTACCTCAGCCAGGGTTTGGGCTTCCCCACTCTCTAGGCGTTTCGCCAATTCGACCACTGAGGCAGGTTAAAAAAATTATAAAAAGACAAGGGAGGAAAAAACGGGAGCGCGAAAATCATCGAAGATGAGAGGCACTGTCCCCGGAATAATTAGCCTCCCGTGCACGATTCGCGCGACCCTTGACGATCTTAATGGGCCGGAAGTGACGTTCCTTTCTCTCTCGGTCCCCTCCGCGCCCCTTTGTGTCTCCGTCGACTGGTACCACCGCGCTACCAAACTGTTTATGGTAGATGGATTCTCCGCGGTTACTGCCTGTTCGTGGTACAGTGTAACTATCGCGCATTAAAAATGTCCTATGTCTCTGCCGCTGTCGTTCCTACGACATTACGACTGGCCGTCTGGCCCGCACACGTTGCAAGTTGAACCGGTTAGAACAGGAAATTGTTTTACGTGCAGTGTGAATTTTTCAGTAGATTTTGTGCTACTCTGTTTTAAAGGGCTTCTTAAAGTATATTTTTATTTAAAAAAATTTTTTAACTACTTAACGTGCCTTCCGGGTCACGACAGTACACTGAGAAAGATTTCCATTGGATAAACCGATTAAATAGTGTTTTCGATTGTTAATTTTTCCGACCGATGAAATTTAGATAAATTGATGAAATGCAGTCACCGATGAAATTTGGTTGACAAACCGATCATATTTTTTATCGAATATACAATTTAATTGGATATATCCGTTTGTTATGTAATTGGATTATCCGATCATATTTAATCGGACATTTTTCTCAGTGTATTCCATTGTCGACTCTATTTCGGCCAGAATATCGCATGTCTCCTTTCTGTTCTCACGGGTTCGGTTTTTTCCAACGATTTCCATTGTCGAATAAGCTTAATGTAGGCCGGCGAACAATAAAGACGGTGAGCATCCGTATATAAATTATATTTTGTAACATCTCGGTTCGAAGTTTTTAGGCTCTCTTGCTCGAGGCTCTGTGAAATTCCCAGGGGAATTCAATTTCACACAATATTACGGCTATCTCCCCGAAAATAATTCGGGATGTAGCGACACAAATTATATTTATTCCAAAACTTCGTTATCCTTTGCGTTATATGTTATCTCTTGTGTCGAGCTCCCTTGCGGTATTATCCTGGCGAGTCCTCGCGTTCGACCCTTATGTAATTCCGCCGGTAAAATGGGAGAGGAGGAAGCGCCGAGAGAACCGGTCGAGTATTCTCCTCTCGTTCGAAAGCATCTCAATTTTTTCCTCTACACGACTCTAATCTTCCGAACGGTGCAACGCTCGATCGGTTACATAGCTATGCACTTGCAGCGTGCAAACATTATTACGCGGTAGGATGTTACGTAAAGTCGGTGCATACGTCGTGCGAAGTGTCTAATTGTTAATGCAAACAATGGTCGTGTCCGCAACGAAATTTGTCCGCGTGAAATCATCGTACGTGTAAAATTCCTTAACAAATTTAAAATTTGTGTAACTATAAATTTGTCAAGAAGTTTGCGTTTTCGTGCAATTCACGTTGCGATCAAATTAATCTAAATTAAAAACTTAGGACCTGAGCAGAACGGCTGTCTTGTAGTCTTACACTGAGAAAAATGTCCGATTAAATATAATCGGATAATCCAATTACATGATAACAAACGGATATATCTGACTAAATTGTATATCCGATGAAAAATTTGATCGGTTTTTCAATCAAATTTCATCGGTAATTGCATTTCATCGGATAAATTTCATCGGATATATCCATAATTTAATCGGAAAACGTAATCGGAAAAATTAACCATCGGACATACTATTTAATTGGTTTATCCGATGAAAATTTTTCTCAGTGTAAGACAATGTTTTGTGTTTTAAATCTTTGTCTTAAAGTAACGCACAACAACTGTCTTATGGACTTAAGAATACAAGACAGCCATTCCGCTCAGGCCCTCTCATATAATTTTTATATTCCAGTATATTTTTCATTTTTGTAGAAAATGAGAAAATAGAAGGGCTCTTTACATAAGACATTTAAGGATTTAACGGGATTTTCGCCTTTTTCGCGCGCGCGCGAGAGACGGTCGATCGGGATTTGCACACGGGGAGAATTTTCTCTTAAAGTTTACCCTGAAAATCATGTAATCGTGGGACAACGTGGCATTTTGAAGAACTTTATGAGAGTTTTTCGAAACTGTACCATACATTCTGCCAGTAAAATGTACACTAAATATAATTACGAGTAAAATGTATGGCAAAATTTCAAAAAACTCTCATAAAATTCTTCGAAATGCCGCGTTGTCCCACGATCGCACGATTTTCAGGATAAATTTTAAGAACAAATTCTTCCCGCGTATATTTCTTGCAACGATAAATTTTCCCGCAAGAACATTTCATTACGCGATTTCCGCACGATTAAGCACATCGAGATACCTAACATACGTGGCTTTAGAAGCTGAGAAAATGTGGGGGAGAGAAAAGCTATACGAAGAAGAAAGCCCGGAGAAGAGATCGGTCTTGAATCTTTGTCGAAGAATCCGTAGAAAAGAAAGCGTATCTCTTGAGGGGGAGGGTGTACCCTGTACATCCAGAATGTACCCATCTCATCATCCGACTATTACCCAGTCGTCCTCTCACGTACACATCGCAGTTTCGCTATCCATTCATACACGCGTCTAGCCCCCGCGTACATAGAATCGGGTCCGAGCTCAAGTTAGTTCTGCACCGCCGCCACCATCATCACCTCCTCCACCTCTACCACCTTCTTCGCTACCACCACCACCGCCGCCGTCGCCACCACCACTGCTATCCTCGATGCCCCAGCCTCGCCGAATCGCTGATACCAGCGCAGCAGCGCCCGGCACCGACTCCACACTGCGTTCCTGATGCGCGCGAGTACCGGAGAGAAGAGTGGCGAGGAGGGTGGTGAGGCGCGACGACGGTGGAGGACGGGAGAGATCGATATAGCGTGGGTGGATGTGCAGAGGTGCGGTGAGGCCGCCGCCACCAGTCGTGCTGTCGGCTGCATCGGCGGACAATCGCGCGCGCTCTTTCTCTCTCTCTCTCTCCGTAGTTACCCCCTTCTCGTCGGTCCGTCTCTCTTCCTCCTCCCTGTCTCCCTTTTTTTCCCCCTCGCTCTCTTTTCCCTTTTTCCCCGGAGCTCCCCTACTCGCGTAGCCCCTCGTCCCGCGTGTCGAGCGCAGCCGATCGCGAGCAGCGCCGATCCTCCGGGATCTTCGCCGCATCCCCGACGATGCGGTGATAACGGCGGTCGCGACGGTGTGATAAGGCCGATGACACGGTGGCACAGTGAACGGGCAGTGCGGTGATTCCTACGTGTGCTTCACCGTCGACTCGGATTAATCCAATCGGGCTCGACCGGAGTGAGTCAGGAGGATCGTCAAGATCCGTCCCGATCTTGCGCGATCTGTGTTCATCCTCGCGCTCTTTCTCTCGCCCTCGCCCACTCCTCTCAACGCACGTGCGTGCGCGGGGATGCGTGTCACGCGCGATTTTTTTTCCCCCTTCTCGGGGCTGGGAAGATTTACTGTAACCTGCTGCAATTCCCCGATGGCCAGCGCGATTCTATCCGCAATCCGCGACGCAAAACGCGCGACACGACCTCGCGAATAACGAATGCGGCGAAACCAGTGTTTTTCTGTTTCGCGTAACCATTATACTATTTTTGCGTAGCTGTACTATTTTTCACACTCCTCGCGGGGACTTCCGTGCCGCCGCAAGGTCCTTGTTGAATAAGTAGAAACGATCCGAAGTGCGCCGATTGCAAAACGCGAAAGACCTCGGAGTCGCACCGGAGAAACGCCATGAGTCATACCGTTGAATTTTTCGCTCCTCGCGCTTTTCCTTATTTTACTTCTTATCGGGAATTTAATCGACGCAATTGATTCTTGTCTTCGCGCGATTCCGTTACGATTTTGTGCCTATTCGTACGTACGGCATTCAATGCTCGCAAATGGTTTTACACCCGTGAGGGGGGCGAAAAGTGTACGAAGGAAAACTCGCGCGAGTCAGGCTTGCCCGAAAGAAAGGAAAATAATAAACCGCTCGCAGTTATTGACTTTTCCGCGTGCCATCTTGCTTCCGCGTGTGTATTTCCAGCGGTCTATACCACGCAGTCTATACAGTTTCCTCCGTTTTAGCTACGTTACATAAACTTTTTTTTATTTTCCCAACAATTTCGCAGCAACGGCTAACTTCGATATTCAGTTTACCCTAACCGGATTTTCGTGGTTAAAGGGTCAATGCGCGTCAGCGCCCAGTACGCTTTTTAAATTGCCGCGAAAGCCAAGTAGTCGCTTCCACATATTTTCCGCCTCACATCGTGGAAGCTGCGAGACTCGCGAGGCGAAATTCGGGGTAATCCGAATGCGTCCAAGTCGGAGCGGCGCGTGCCAAAGATAGCGACCGGAGGAACGACGACTTCGTCGTCGGGAACCGTGACCTGCCTCAGAGAGGTACAGAACCGTACGAGATGAACCCCGTCGCGATCACCTAATTGCCTAATTAACCGTAGTAACGTGAGTCGACCTTTTACCGTGCAATCGCCGAGCGAGCCCTTGTTTATGTACCTCGAATTATTAACTAAACCAATCTTGG